ATTCAAACCATTTAAACTCTACCCTGGGAGTTGAAGGAATAATTATGACGAAATAAAAGCAGATATAAAAAGGATGAATAACAACTGGAAAAAACTGGAAAGGATTGTTCATGATAGAGTTGAATGGAGAATGCTGGTGTGAGGCCTATGCTCCTCCACAAGGGGGAAACAGGCGTAAGGAAGTAATATTAAAACTATGTCTATCATCATGGTAAATCCATCTCCATATATAACCTCAATCGATGGACATGTTGACCAGGTTCTATGTGTTATTTATTTATTTATTTAAACACATAAATATTGGTACAAAAAGCACCAGATAAATATGCGCCTCACAAATCTCATTCAATTTGTGTAAGGGCTGTGATACTACCCAGGTGCCCAGACTGAAGCAGGTGGTTTTCTTAGGGAACACACCCCGAGCCTTTGACCTAAGGGTCCAATCCACAAGGCAGTGGAGCATGGTAAGGAGATTTAGTTCCATGGTAGCCAGTGACCAACGATTGATTAATACGCCATTTGTTCCTTCAGGATAATGGAGCCCATGTGCACCATTGGTTTTGAATCAGGGTTTCACAGCTCCCCTAGGTAAACTTTCCGTGTCCACCAACCCGGTTAAAGCTCCGGATATTCGCTTTTCGTCCTCTCAATTTCATAAACAACAGTGGTGCCACGAGAAGGCAGTGATTAGGACTTATATGGCAGAGGCTATATATTCGCGTGTCTATGTGAGAGCATTTGAAGAGGGAGAGCGTACTCTCCCCACTCTCGGCCGTACCAGGGCATTTGGGGTCTAACATTGTGATGGAGGTGGGACTTGTGTTACTTTTAACTAATTGACCGAACTATACATCAATAGTGACTGCATTTTTATCTAATTTTAACTGATTTACTTTTTAAAATATAATGACATTTGGTCTTCCATTGAAGTCTATTCAATCTTGATTTGGACAAAGTTATATGAAAACTGGTCATGTTTATTTTTGGAAAATAATTATTCTAGAAAATATCTTCAGGCTATATTTGCATATATATATAAAGTACCCAATGCAGCAAAGTTTCACTTTTTGTGAAATTCAGCCATTTTGTATACATTCTACATTTTCCATTATGTGTGTATATTAACACTATCCATCCATGTACCTATCTATCCACACATCTATCAATCTATTTATCCACGCATCTACTTATCTATCCACACTATGTATCTATCTATCCATCTATCTATCTATCCACACATCTATCTATCTAACTATCTAATCTATCTAATTATCTATCTATCTGTATGTCAATTGAGTTAATAGTTTTGAGTTGTACTTGTTGACAATCGACTGTATAGTAAAGAATCAAGAGGAAGATTGCAAATTAATAAATTATTCCTAACTTCTATTAAACCATAGTAGTATAAAGTTAGTGTTTTGAACGAAAGACTTTTGTAGAGATTACTTTTCTTTTATAGATAATTTATAATCAATAATTAACATCAGTAGTTCACCTATTGGTAACTAGAGAGTTCTAAATAACTATTTCATCTTAATATGAAATTCTTCACTAGTATAAGCCAATTACAATATCAGGAATGGAATTCTATAATCTTTAGGTTTTATGGTCAACTCTACGCTCACTGACTATTTTGTTAGAATAAGACCAAACTCATACCCTGGTACGGCCGAAGGTATGGAGAGTCAGCTCTCCTTCTAGAAGTGTTCTCGTATGGCCACATGTATACAGTCACCTCCAAGAAACCCCTCCTCACTGCCTTCTCGAGGCATCGGTGTTGCTTACAAAATTATAAAGACGAAAAGTGAATGTTCGGCGCTTTAACCGAGTCAGTGGATATGGAGAGTCTACCTAGGGAAGTTGGAAAACTCTGATTCCAAACCATTAGTACGTATGGACTCTAGGATCCTGAGGGAACAAATGTAATATGAACCAATCGTTTGTCACTGGCTACCATGAGTATGCATTTCCTTTTGTTTCTCTACTGCTTTGTGGACCAGATCTTAAAATCGAAGGCTCTGAGTGTTTCCCTCTAAGAACATCACCTGCTTCGGTTCGGGCACCTGAGCAGTATCATAGCTCACACACAAATAAAATGAGTTGTGTGGCGCATATCTATTCGGTGCCCTTTTGTATCAATATTTATGTGTTAAAATAAATAATAAAAAATCATTTGAAACTTCAATGAATACACAAATAATAACGTGCATTTATCGTGAATTCGAATTCTCATGTTTTCTAAATAATAGCTATATCATATAAAAAAATTAACGATATTGGTACATATGTTGTGAATTTAACTGATAAGTTACACTGTTTCCTTTTTTCCAGCCGAAATTACTTCACAGTTGAAATCATGAGTCAATTGAAGCCAGATCACTATGGAAAACTTGGAAGCACTGCTTTAAGGCCGTTTCGTCCTATTATGGGACTCCTCAAAAGTGCGCATCCATGGTTTCACCCCGCAGGATTCGAACTGAGGACCTATCAATCTCGCATCAGAGCGCTTAACCACAAGACCACTGATTCGAAATCCGATGTTGTTAATGTCTAATTTCAACCGTTCACCAAATGTCTTCAGTGAGTTGATATTTCACAACGGACCTGGTTGAACTCTACTGGTCACTGCTTGTCACTTGAACTCCAGGAAATATCTCTTGAAGACAGTAACTAGCGAGCAGGTTTTCCATAGTGGTCTAACTTCAATTGACTCATGCTTCCAACTACGTAATTATTTCGTTTGTTGATTTTTATAAAATAAAAAATCTCTATTTATTTGTTTGTTTATTCATCACTGTTGACCCATCTTAATCGAAATGTAAATATAGACCATACTATCGAGGCAATATATTTCATTAATTAATTGTCAATAATCAATTAATAAATAAGTCAACATTAGGAAAAATATTTTTACAGTGACAAATAATGAATATTCACTTGGTATTCTTTGTTTCTATCTTCCTGTTGATGTTTTTAGGATTGCAACTAGTCAGTCTCTAATTGGCATATGTGCATACTGTGCCTATTGACTAGATATAGCCTTAATTCACAGGCATTGTAAGCAAAGATGGATAGTGGCTAGCAGTGGAGTCTAGGTTATTGGATATTGTAACATTCATAGCCTATTGGATATATATCAAAGTTACTTTGAAGTTAAATTGGGATAAGTCTAGAATGATATAAATTATACATTATGTTACATCCCATTATTGGAAAGTATATGAAACTCGGTATTCTTGTTAAATTTGGAAACCATTTTATAAAAAAGAGTCATAACTTTACAAATATAAGTATTACAGATAATTGTTGGGGAGACCCAGAAAATTCCTGGAAATTATTCAGTGGAGCCTTAAAAATGCTGAAAAACGTGTTGTCTAATCAGAATTCAATAGAAGTATTTCAGAAACATCTAGAAAGTGAAGAGTCACGTGTCATATTTCTAATTGGCTGATTGTCTATCCTGCAACCATATTTAGAAGGGCTCCAAAGCTTTCCAGAAACCTTAGGCCATTTGAAATGATATGAATACCCTAAATTTTCTGTACATAAACTAACTTTGGATTAAGGCATTCTTTTCATATTTCGTGCCTCGTTTTTCGTGTTCAAGTTGCTGTGTAGATCTAGACTGGGGTTACTATAACAGTTTAGGAAACCAGATCAAGCGTCCAAGTAGAGAATTTGTCAAATCAAAGAACTGTTTACTACAGTGAAAATACTAAACTCTCTAAAGCTACCTTGTTTTAACAGTTATGGAAAATCAATTGAACAGTATAGAAGTTATTCGCGATTACTCGATACGATGATGACTGTAGACAATCTACAGGAATTTGTGCCTAATTTAGATTTTAAGCATTTTGATGACGAATTAAAAAAGGTTTATCTATACTCTCAAAAACAACACATTAACCTATGGGTCCTGAATTCTAATCCCGCGGGAGGGGTGATGAGTGCGCATTACTGACGAATCTCATAATAGGAAGAAACGCCTGTAAAGTGCTTTCAGGTTTTCCATGGTGGTCTAGCTTTAATTAACTCATGAATTCAACTATAAAATTACTGAAATCTTCAAAAAAAAACTCCCTCCTGATAGTTATATATTATTTCTAATAATCCGATCAATAAATAAATTTGATTGGATTGAACTATTATTAATTAACATAAATTAATCAATAATTTAATGTAAGTATACAATTTTAGAAAAAAAATCAATAAATTAATTTATCAAATTGAAATAAGTATTTACATTGATTGATTGATTGGTTGATTGATTGATTATCTATTAATAATCAATATCTTGTTTGTTTAGTTATATTAATGTTAATTAGATTCTATTGATTAAGATGAAATTTGGAAAAAGAATTTAAATGAATCAATATCATTATAGCAATAGGACATCAACTCTGAGATGCAGGTAGATCCAGCTGACGAGTCCCAAATAAGACGAAATGATCGTCAAACTAGATTCCACTGCTAGCCACTATCCATCTTTGTTTACAATGCTTGTGAATTAAGGCTATATCGAGGCAATACGCACAGTATGCACATATACCAATTAGAGACTAACCACCAGTTGCAGTCCTAACACATCGATGGTAAGATTCAAACAAACAATACTAAATGAATTTAATCAATATCAGATATATTAAATTTTAAGAATAAATAGTTAAATAAAAGTACTGATACTCCAAGAATTCTTGGACATAAATTTTGTCATCAGGGAATATTTGGAAATTTTTTTGGAAAAATCAATAATCTTTTTGGAATTCAATGTTTCATTATTCTGTCTTACAATCTATGACATTAGCATTAAGATATTTAAACCTATAGTGTTCTCTTGTAGGAATAAGATATATTGTTTTAGATTGAATGACCGCTAACTAGGAACTCTGGCAATTATTCTTAACTACTATAAATTTTATTTCCATAGATTTTTTTTTGTTATCTACCTAACATCGGTAAATAAGAATAACAAAATACTTTTATATTTAGGGAGTACTCACCGGTGTGTATTCTATTCTCTTCATTTCAATCTTCTACTACCATCCATTATACTTCCAATTAACGCTAAACACTAATTATATCTGTCAATATAAATAGCATACACCATAGTGGTGCAAATTATCAACAATGAAGAATTGAAATCTGTTTACTAATATTGTAGAAAAGAAAAATCCTATTAGTATACTAGAAGAGGGTTTTGTGGAGATTTTAGTAATTTTATATAGTTGAAATCATGAGTCAATTGAAGGTAGATCACCATGGAGATTAAGCGCTCGAGCGCAGCACTGATAGCTTTTGGGTTCGAATCTCGTGAGGCGGGATTGTGGATTCGCACTGCTGAGGAGTCTTTTAAATAGGACGAAACGGCCTTCCAGTGCTTGCAGGTTTTCCATGGTGATCTAATTTCAATTAACTCATGATTTCAACTATATTAAAATTACAAAATACTTTTCAACTAAGTATTTATGTCTTTAAGTGAGTATTTTGATGGGATTCATGTAAATAAATTTATATATATGTATTGTTATGCATTATTCTAAACTAGAATAGAATGTTATAACTATTGTTCTATTTCACCTAAACTAGCAGTGTAAACACAAAACTATCATCATAGATGAGACTATTGAATTGTGTAAAATAATTATGTGAAGTAACATTTTGAACCGTTGCATATTCAAGTTGATTACCGGTGAGCGGCCTATGCTCCTCGACAAGGGGTAACAGGAGTAACTAAGTAATATTCAAGTTAGTTTGGGAAAGACTGACTAATGTTAGGTGTAGATATCAGGTTTCAGATGATAACAATTATCTTGACCAAAATTATGCATAGTAACTTAGTATGAAGTGGTAATGATATTAGCTTAAATCAACTACATATCAGTAGCCTATAACAATGACTTGGAAATAAATCAGTTAGTTATCTAGTAGTGTTATATCCTGACGAGAAATATGAATGGTAACTTTTGAGGATCATTTATGGGCCAATAAGAGACTAAATTTTGTACAAATGTTACTTTTTATTTTGTGATAGGATGTGGTCCGTTTGGTTCGTATATAAGTCAAGTATATTTGGAATACATGATTCATATGGCAGAGGCTGTTAGTTGTGTTCTGGACTTAAAAGGCAGGACTAGGCAGGAAGAAAGACCAATAAAGACTCTAGAATGTTCGTAAGGGTTTTTACGTCCATAGTCCGGTCGATAAGTCGCCGTTCTCTAATTGGAGGTATCATTACTTTTTTACATTAACAGAGCACATAAGGCGACAAGTTATAACAAATAGTAAGCGGCAGATTTAAATCCCACAATTTATACTTTAGTTAAGACAGTTTCTTAGGTCTAATATAAGTGGTGAGGCTCAAAGTTGAGTACATGAACCTGTGCTTACATGATGAATTACTTACTTCATAAAATGATATTAGTATGCTTTAAAAAGCAAATATTACTCAATATATTACTTATTAGTAGTTTTATGACATTAGATAACTTTTTTGACTTTATTCATAATTAAATTTCGTCTTCATTGAAGACGACTAAAAACGATATATTTTTTAATTCTTTGTCCCACCACTAAATTGTTAGCGTTGCGAGACTAATAAGATTATCTTAAGAAATGATTTTCATCTTGAAATTATGAAAGTCGAAGGACTGTTGTAAGTCAGGGATAATAATGAACGAATATTTTCATTCTATTGTTTTTTTCCTACTCTTTAAATGATAGAATTCGCGAACTTACACAGGATTGTGGCGGTTGAGACCTAGGAGTTAAATAAAAAAATCACTATACTTCAAAACTACTGAATTGGATACTGTAAACTGTGAAGCTAACTAATTTGAGAGAAAGAACTTAACTGACAAAAAATATTGAACTTTCTTGTGGATGGAAATAATGATCAGTGATATTAATTTACTGATCTCAATAAGCTGAGAAAGTCTAAGCATACGCCATGCCTTATGTCATAAGCCATCTCATGGTAACGATGTATTTGAATAGTATAAATGAGATACCCAGTTCAATTCCAAGCCTCTGTCTCTTTCTTTGAATAGAATGAATAAATGAAATGCATACCAACGTTTGGCAAATATTTGCATTCAGTTTATTATCCTAAGCTTCCTAATCATCTCTCAGTCTTCTTAGTAGTATCGATGGTTGCATATGTTTGTATCTGAATGTGATGTTTATAACAAATCTCACAGTACTTGACAGATTATATTAATTTAGCAACATATGAGTTTATGAGTATCAATTTTTTTAAAGAATCCTTGCCTGAGACTGGCTAACAGGCTGTCACTTTGAAATTTTAAAATGTTCAGGAGGTTGTCACGTTTTATGATGTAAAAATTACTTATGCACTATTAATCTGAATAGTAAAACGGACTATGTGTATACTTCATTCAATATGTAGTATACAGCAACAGGTGAAGACAGCTAATGTAGCAATGATATACTTTAACATATCTAATGGAAAAAGCAAGCTACTAAGATGAAACTTAATGGGCACCAATACAACCACACTGGAAGGAGAAAATCTGGAACATGTTGAGTGTCTCACGTACTTGAGAAGCACCATCGATGAACGAGAAGGATTGGATGCAGATGTGAACTCAAGGATTGGAAAAGCTAAGATTATATTTCTACAATTAAATAACATATACAGCTAGAAACAACTGTAAAAAAACCTCAAAGTAAGAATTCTCAATATGAACTTCAAGGCGATTCTGTTGTACGGAGCCAAAACCTACAAAACTAATAAATCTATAGTTTAGAATATACAGGTATTTATAAACAATTGTCCACCCAAAACACTCCATATCCTTTGTCCGAACATCAATAACCACGAACTACTGTGTCAGAGATGAAACTAAGTTCGAGCTGAAGAGGAAATCAGAAAAAGACGATGATGGGGGATAGGACTTACATTGAAGAAAATCACAAAATTGCATCACAAGCCAACCTATAAATTGGAATCTTCAATGTGAAAAGAAAAGAGATAGATCGCAGAACATGCTGCGTCGGGACTTGTAATCAGACATCAAAGAAGTGAATAGCAACTCGAAAAAACTGAAAAAGATTGTCCAAAATAAAAGTTTTTTTGGGAATCCTAGTAGGCGACCTATACTGCTCCATGAAGGGCAACAGGAGTAAGTAAAGTATGTAGTCTTTTAAAACATCTTCAATCAATATGTGTTTGTAGAAATCTTAAATCTGTTGATCTTGTACAATGCTTATTCCTATAATGCTAACATAAAAATGTACATATAGTGAATAAATATTCACAATGAGTTCAATCTAGTTTGTAGGTATCACTACCATGGTCTGACTTGATAATTTCAAATAAATAGAGTATAGGTAAAAAAAAAAATTAAACTGGTAAATGTTCTGAGGGTTTCGTCACTCAATGTAAGCCACTTCTTCAGAGAATACGTAAGCAAATTAAATCGACCCAACTTTAAATAATATAAAATAATGAAGCAATTATTTTTAATGTAATCAGTCAAACAAACAAAAGTCTAACCAAATCAATGTCATATAATTTCGGTCAGTGTGATTTATATAAGACATATCTGATTCAATTTACATCTCATACCATTATGGTACATACAAAAATATATCTCATAAAAATCACTTCAACCGAAATGGAATGATATTGACTTAGTCAGATCTGTTATTTTGATTGATCTTATTAAATAATCTCACTTTATTCTTTTTTATTATTTAAACTTAAATTAATTTAATGTGTTTATTTATACTTTGAAGAAGTTGTTTTGAACTGAATGACGAAACGTCAGAAAATGTAAAAAACCTCAGTTTTCTACTTATTGAGATATTAAAAAATATATATATTGTTTTTATTATTCTTCTTATGCAATGAAATGAAATGTAAATGAAAATCTTATATTATTCATCTTCCTTCAACGGACTACTCATATGTCTTTTAAATTTAATTAAAATCAATTGACAGAATGGGGTTTTGTGGAGATTTTAGTAATTTTATATAGTTGAAATCATGAGTCAATTGAAGATAAATCACCATGGATAACCTGAAAGCACTAGAAGGCTGTTTCGTTCTTTTTTTTGAAACTGCTGAGTGACAGTGCACATCCACGATCCCGCCTTATGAGATTCTAACCCAGGACCTATCAATTACGCTTCAGAGCATTTAACCTCTAAACCACTGAGCTGACCGAAATCTAACGATGTTAATTTCTAGCTTCAACCAATCCACGAAATTGAGCAATTATTCACTAATGTCTTCAGTGAGTTACTATCTCATAACAGATCTTGTTGAACTCCACTGGTCGTGGATGCGCACTGCTGAGATGTCTCACAATCGGACGAAACGGCCATCTAATGCTTCAAGGCTTTTCATGGTTATCTAGCTTCAATTGACACATGATTTCAACTATACAAAATTCCTAAAATATCTACAAAACCGCTTCTGAATATATTCATTATTTTAATTTTCACTTTATAATTACTATTATTAATTTTTTTCTAATTTCTACTTTTTTTTCTTTAATTTTTAAAAAATTATTTTTCTCTATTCGATTAGTTTCATTAATTATTGAAATAAAAAGAAAAACAAAAAGAAAATTAGAAACAATAAAAAGTTGGATAGAAACAGAAAAAAAAATTGTGCCTTATATATATCAAGGTGAAAATAAATATTTACTAATTTCTTATTGGTCAATTTAAAAGAAAAAAAAAATTAAAAATAATTTTGTGAATTATGAATTATTATTATTAATGTTACTAGTACTACTACTGCCACTACTACTACTCCTACTACTCCTCCTGATACTACTACTACCACTACTAATATGGTGTGGTCTACTTATATCTATATAAGTAGTATATAGTGTGGGTCAGACATAGAATATATTTTGGCAGAAGACCGATAAGGAAAGAACTGAAATTAAGCGCAATCGTTTGGAAAATGTATGAGCAATGGAATTAGAGAAGAAACAGTGAAGATTGAAACAATTGATTGTTAATTTGTAAATTGACTGTTCATTGTTTGGTTATCAGAATTTACTGAGATAGTCTGTAATATTTGCTTAAA